ACATCCCCGAATGCAGTATCGATAACACTCCAGCAAGACGAAACCTAGGCTGGGATCACCTGGGAACCTTCCAATTCTCGGAAAACCCCTGCACAGTCGACCCTGTATACACCCTACATAGCTAGCTTTAAGCTGAGCTCGTGCTGCGACTGCCACCGAATCTTCACCCGAACAAGTGGCAGAACCAGAGACCAAGTGTCTCGATGTGATGAAGGAGCTCAAGGAGACCTGAGATGTACAGGGCTTTCAACACCGTTTATTGCGGGAAGTTCGGAAGTCACCGGAGCCCTTGCTCCCGGACACGACCCAGGTTCTGAGCAAACCAAGTGGGAGGACAACTTCTCTTGGTGGGCACCTATACTGCTCGGACATGCAAGAGTCTAGAGCCCCACCACACTCGTCAAACTGCTTTGTGGCGACAAACCAGCCACCCTCCACCACGGAGCAAGTTTCGACAAGACGAGTGGATCACCTACCGACACAGCATGTCAGAACTACGAGCACGACGTGAGCATCGCCATGATTACGCCTTGCAGGGTTCTTAAATAGGGTGGCCAAATATCGGGGCTCATTTACTTAGATAAGCACCGCCGCCCTCATCTGATGCTGATTGAACCCAGGGCCGAAACCCTCGATCTAAGCCCCTAGCTAAAACCATATATAATATCTGCACTGCACTTCCTTACCCGGACCAAAGCAGCAGATATATTGCATTGCATCCATTCATGAATCATCGGGCGACTTACACGTGTGCAGATATATCATGCGGACCAGGATTCTCATGGTTTTGACGTTTCCAGATAGCAGCTCCACATACAACCAATCAGCTTGAGCGGAATGGGATGGCACCCACAAGGCTGAGCTTGATCTCAAATTTCTGAGATCACAGCATACATACATTTATAAGGCTAGCTAGGGCTCTCAGGGTTCATTTGGTTGCCATTGGTGAATATTAGGGGTTTAGGAATAGATGGGTTTAGGGGATGTATGTACGTAAATAAATAAATATATATATATATATATATAAATACCTGATAGGGTTTGTATAATCCTATGTGTGTATATATATATATATAAATATACATATACATATATATAGAGGGTTTATAGGGGTGTTTAGGGGTTCCGGGTTCAAAGGCCTTTGGGTTTAGAATATAGGTTTGGGATCGAGGAAGGACGTGTCTCGGAGAGTGATTCTTGGCTGGTGTCCGTAACATTAAGGGTCCAGAATTATATAGTTTGGATCGATCACGGACCTGGTCGCTTAAGGGATCAACTTTAAAATATGGGTTTAAAATGATATATGTATATAAGGTTTGGGATCGATCAAGGAAGTGGTCTATTGGGTCTCGGAGGGTGAAGCTAGCTTCAGTGGGTTGGGCCGAGCAGAGTGATTCTGGGCCTGTCAGGGAGTCGGGGTGCTTGAGGGTTCTAGCTAACCATACGGGGTTAATTATGCTGGCCTCGCACTGGCTCCCTACAGAGCCCACCAAACATGCTTCCAAAGACCCGTGTAGTAGCTCCATAGGACCAGACATACATAACGAGATCACATTCAAATTTCCTATCTCAATTACCGAGACCCAGGACCCAGCAGAAGCAGACCGACTATATAAGTGTATTTTGACCAAACCTGAGAACACCCAAGCTGCCCAAAACACGTAACTCCCAGCACCACTTAAGAACCCTTGGAAGTTCCCAAGAAGTAATGTACTTTGAAAACCCGTGAGCAGTGCCATGAAGTGTTTGGGGTGTTTTCTCATAGTCGAATCTAGACGAACCCCATGAAGCCCAACTAACCGTAAGCTTCCGATAACCCTTTCAAGCCCACCACGGGACATCTTAAGAGTCACCCCAAAATTAACGGCTTCCCAAAAAGCCCAGTCCAGAAACCCTAAACCACCCTAACCCATGAAAGATCCCTCTAGAAACTCATCTTTGCAGTACCTCTACGAATCGCCTCGTCGTGCAGGTGGCGGATGCTGTTTCGCCACGGCGTGGGCGACAATGCCTGGGCGAAGGAAGGAATTGAGTTCGTTGATATTGTTGGAGATCAGGTTGATGCGGGGCGATGTTCACTTTAAGAAGGCTTCGCACATGCGTGTACATGCATGCATATGTACACAGCAGAGTACACAAATACTAAAAAGAGCATCCCCTCGGATGTGTTGTATTCATCGTTCTGTGCACATGTTTGTAATACCTGTGTATAGGTATACACATCCAGGCACATGTAGATTTCTAGTTCTGTTGCCACACCTAACCGACGACACTCTAGCATGTCACATGGGCACGAGTACCAATGTCGGTTAAGAGGCCAACTTCAGGCAGATCAGAAGGGTCGGGATCGCGATGAGGATGGAATCCTGCGAGGGTTGCTTACTGTTCGATGCAGGCAATGTTGGGTTGCCTAATCCGGGTCCTTAAGCAGGCCGGTCGCCATCAAGACGAAAACAGAAACTAAAGCCGCCCGCAGCCATTGCTAGGAAGGCTTCACAGGGTCCGATGCAAAAGTGAAGTATGTTTCTATGTAGGGCCTATTAGGGTCCTAGAAGAGTTCTACATTTGAGATACCTAGGATGTCTAAAGTCTAAAAGCCTTGCTCATTTCATGGCAATGCAATCACTTCAACCAGACTCGACCACTGTGCACTGAAGAAGCTGCATTCAATGTGGCGTCTGCAGAGAAGCAGCCGAATCAAAGCTTATAAGATGTTGTGCAGCATTCAAAAACAGGCCAGCACTCGCTCGGAAACCGCAGAAAAAATCCGCGAGCTGACAGGAAGCCCTGTGCTCTCATCCAGCCAGCGGAAGCACCTGCAGGCGGGGACAGCTTCCAACACCCATATTAGTGTCAATTGAGGCTCACCAAACCCTAAACACCAAAACCCTAAACCCTAAAATCTTAAACCCGAAATCCTAAAACCCTAAACCCTAAAACCCTAAACCCGAAACCCTAAAATATGTAATCAGACAAGGTCCTGGGGTCTGCACATCTCACAACCCCTCTACGATACATCATACACAACAGCAGGCCCAAACTCAGCTGGATCTAAAGTCTGCAGCAGTCAACAGACACAATGAAGCACACATGTTGCAGCCTTGCCAACGTGTTTTTTCCGATCCCGTGCTGCTGCGATGCTGGAACGATAGTGCCCATGTGGCCAAACCACATAGGTTCCGACGGCAAAGCAAAAGCTGAACTGCTGCTGCAAGGGCTGCTGCCAGCTTTGTATCATCACTTTTCGCATGCTAGTTAGGGTGATAGGAGGTTACATTGCGGTACAAGACATATCAAATTATGTAGGGGGTGGCTGCAACTTCGGTACATTAAGATCCATGCAGCTACGATTGCCTAGTTCTGTGCTCTAGAGAACTATATATGTACAATTCTATATGGAGCTAAGCAAAGCTAGCAGACTACACCCTCAGCAGCATGCCTAGGTACACACAGTTGCCTTGCATAACCCTAACTCGAGCTAGTGGCTGCTCGTGCAGTTGAGACCAGCAAATTGAAGCCACCATTGCATGTTGCCACGCTGGCAACCGCAACTGCACCCAAAGATCATAACTCACACGATGGATATGCAGCACAAAGCCAAATCTCAGCATACGGGTAGTTCTCATTCGTGCTGTCACCTGAGCAGGCTACAAGACACGGCTGGGCAATGACAACGAGGAGACAGGGACACTGTTGAGTTACTAGCGACAAAGCGATGTTGTATGAACTTGTCGAGCATCGGTTCACAGACAGAAATTGAACGGCGTGCTTCATGGCAATCTTCTCGTAGTTCTTGGGGTTCACTCCGGATGCACTCAGAGCAGGGAAGACGAAGGCCCAGAAAGTGCCCTGTTTGCACAGCTTACCCGCACGGGTTTAGGGCTTCAGGGGTTTGTAGGGTTTAGGGTTTAAAATTAATAGAGTATAATGTGGTTATAGTACAATGGGTATAAAATTAAGGTTTATAAACCCTGACCCAACCCAAACAAAACAACAATGAAACCGGTATATAATTGTATATTTCTAAAACCCATGCACCTCCCAGCTGCTCGGGTTGTCGAACTTGTCAGCAATATGCTGATTGAACGTGTTCTTCACGGCATCAAAGCGAGCTCGAGCAGCGTCGCCTGTAGGTGGGTTGCGACTCGCAAAGGTCTTTCTCTTTCGTCCGGCATCCCGGTCCGTGTGCTCAGGCTCGTTGACCTCCTTCGCCGAAGCATCATCATGCTCCTTGGTGTCCTTGGGCTGGCGGGCTTTGCCTTTGGCAGTCGCCTTGGCCTTAGCCTTCTCACCTTTCGCCTGCTTCGGACCAGGCTTTCCACCACCAGGCTTCGGACCAGGCTTTCCAGATCGCTTGGGACTAGGCTTTCCTGCAGCCTTCAATCCAGCAGGCTTTGGAGCTTGCTTCTCAATCGGGGCAGGCGAGTAGCAAACGGTCTGCTTTCCTTGCGGGCTGTCCTTCGCCTCGCAATCATCATCAGACTGTTCGGGCTCGCGAATCGGAGACTCGGTCTTCCGAGGCTTCTTGGATTGCGGCTCATCCTTGCATGCCTTGGTCGAGCCGCCACGACCTCGGCCTCCACGACCACGTCCGCCTTTATTCTTAGTGCCCGAAGCCGGCGGTCGCCCGCGACCTCGGCCTCCACGACCACGGCCACGTTTGGAAGCCGGCTGGTCCTCATCATCTTCGTCGTCGCTGTCTTCCCCCTTCTTGCCACGTTTCCTCTTCTTGTCCTGGGTCGCCTCCTTGTCGAACTTGTTTCGCTGCTCTACCCGCTTCACCATGTGATCCTCCACAGAGAATGCATAACAGCAATCTGCCCTATATAGTACCTATAGATTACAAAAGCCGATCTATGAGTATAGCTAGCCGTGTTTCGCCGAGGCCATAAGGCAGACCCTGCCGAACAACCAGAATACTTATAATAAGAGATTAGACCCCAGATATTTATGATATTTTGCACCCTCTTATATAACCCTATTATAAATCGGGACACAGTCTAACTTGGTCGCAATCCAAAGAACCGCCCTGCCTTGGGGTCGTAGGTGTCGAGGGTGGGAGTTGCCTTCGGGGGGGTCCTCTTCGGCGCATTCGGCTTTGCAGGCGGCTCGATCGTTGGCTCCGTAGGGGGATTCGGCGGCTCCTCGTCGTGCGTGCTCCCGTTCGTCTCGGCCGCAAGAAAGGCGGCCTCACCAGCTTCGCCGTCGTAGGCCTGGGTCTCCTCCTCGTCGGGCTTCAAGCCAGAACCTTTGGAGATCCAAACAACAAAACCTCCTCGAAAGGCTAACAAACAAATATCAAACTTGATGGCCGAGCTGCTCGAATCCAGCTCGCGAGGCACTGGAGCTGCTTTAGCAGCAGCCTTCCTCATCTCCAGTTGCTGCCTGCTTCAGGATTACATCACAGAAAAATAGCAAGAACCACTAGCCAATAAGTTATATATAACTTTCAAGAAAGCAACGACCACTGACCACAACAATAGCACGATCACAATAGCAGCAACCACTAGCAGTCACTAGCGAAAGATGCTTAATAGGATTATGGAGCAAGAACCACTAGCCCAATCACCTCAAAACCCGTCAACTTGCCAAAAAAGCAGCACTCACTTGCTGAACACATGCAATCTATATATAGCGATTCACAAATGGCAGGCCTCACTTGCTCCATCCTGATATTCAGCTGATATCGAACTTGCTGGCGTCTAGGATCGGTATCCACTCTGTCCCCCGAGAAAACGTGAATCTTGCTTCGTGGCATTGGCTTCGGCTTGGAACCACCTCCTGTTCCCGAAGAGGATGCTGCGGCTAGATCTGGTTTTGCACTGGCATCTTCGACTGGGGATGGCTTGGGATCCACCTTTGCACTGGGAAGCTCCGCCCGGGATGGCTTGGGATCCACCTTTGCACTGGGAAGCTCCGCCGGGGATGACTTGGGATCCAACTTTGCACTGGGAAGCTCCGCCGGGGATGGGATCGGATCCACCATTTCACCGGGAAGCTTCACTGGGGCTGGCTTGGGATCCACCTTTGCACCGGGAAGCTTGACTGGGGCTGGCTTGGGATCAACCTTTGCACTGGGAAGCTCCATCGGGGATGACTTCGAACCCACCTTTGCAACGGGAAGCTCGGCTGGCATGGAAGGCTCGCCTGCGGATGGCTTCGCCACCTCTGCACTGGGAGTGCCCAAGGTTTCTGAACTCGAAGAAACATCGACTGGTGATGGCTCAAACTCCGCAAGAAGCTCATCCAAGCCATCCCCATCCACCTGAGTTTCTTCCACCTCCATCCCATTGCCCCACCCACTGTCTGCCGCTGCAACAACGGTGTCCGTGTCCTCCACTGAATCGTAGACGTCATCAGGCCTGATGTCCTCGATGGCCAGCGGAGCAGGCGGATCCGCCCCCGTGTCCGGCCCAACAGACTCGGTCCAATAGAAACGAAGGATGTTGTAAAAGTCGTCCAAAGCTGTATCCTTACACTATACACATTATCAACCTACACAATACCTTTATAGTTGTGTATATGTACATATGAACTCTTGAGGAAAGCAGCTCGGGACTCGGATCCCGTCTTGAGTCTTCGTATCCCGTGGGAAAACAGCTTCTTCAGTCCTTCTGCATCCATGTTCATGACGACAGCATCCGCCGGCAAATCCATATCCCGTCTGAAGCGAGTCACCTGCATTATACAAGGGTGCGAATCACTGAAGGCAATTATAATCAAAATTCTTCAACTTGCCAGCCTCCCTCCTCTTTAACTCAATAGGGACAGTGCAGCAGTGCTGGGTGGTCGGACAAAACCACTCTGCCAGGACCTCCAAAATCCTCGTGTTACACCCCATAGCTTTAACACTCGGCACACCGGTGTTTTGCAAGCTGGGCCATCTGGAAATGTAGCCCTTCTCACGGGCTCGGCGGCGAATCGTGATTTCCGCCTCCAGGAGCCCTGCAAGGCTGCCAACTGGAGGCCACTTGCTTTTCGGGGCTCGCGCAGACTCTGCGGAGCTCTCATTCGCCGAACCATCCTCCATCTCTGCCAAGGACTCTGAAGCCATAGCCCAGGCTAGTCTATGCACCACGGAGCTTCAAAGCAGGCCGAAAACTGGAACCCAAATCGCGGCACATGAAATATATAGAGCATGGATACACAAATCACTCCCGAACTTAAGGCAGCTGTTATCGGAAACTTGAAGCTCCCGATTCCCGAAAGCGCCTGCTCCTCCAATAAGAAGCACTGCCAAGCCCAGCCACCAGAATGCAAATGTACCTGCGATCGAAGGACAAAACGGCGGCTGAGCTATGCGTGCGAAGCTTTCGATTGCTTGATTGATGGGCCGGCAGTCGGTCTTGAATTCCGAAATAGACCCTAAACACCTCGACCTTAAATATATCTAGGGCTAGACCCTAAACACCTCGACCTTAAGTAGGGGCACTTCTGCGGTTTGCACAGTCGCAGCGGCACATGGGTCAGACATACATGGCACATCTATACATGTCTAACATTCCAAGTGAATTGGGATTTGCAAGTTGGATGATGTCTGACCTGAATTAAGGATACGGGCATCTTATATAGAAACTATGTTACCTATATAACATATATAATATCATATATTATATAACATTATAAGGATGTATGGGATTCAATGTCATGTGGGGTGCATTGTCCTATATAGGTACATATGGTATATGTTAACACTATGATTTCTGGAGCAAGCAGCTTTCACCATGAGCTCAGAAGCGGTCCTTCGGAGAAAAGGACATCAGAGCCAGCTCGCGATCGATCCGAGCAACCTCGGCCTTATGTGTCCCATGTACCCATGCCTCAACTGGGCCTGATCCCGAAATCCTGCAAACTGTAAAAACAGTTCACGAACTGAAGTTTCAGTGCACGATATGAATAAACGCTTATTCACCGAACAACTAAAGTTTAAGGCCGTGCGGAAGGTCCAGGTCTGGTTTACAAACTACAAAGTCATTAATATCCTGGATGTTATTGCCAGTATTACTAGCATTGCTGCAACTGCGACAACTACAATACTCTTATTGCTAGTGCCACTAAGACTACCTGTAGCACTACGAGTCTTCTTGCCAGTGCTGTTCTCACTTTCGCATAAAGGATATTGTACATCGAGTGCATATGTCTACCTGAATCCCTGCATACTCAAGCAGCTACAGAATGCTACATGCGCACATGTAAGGCTCATAAATATCATGTGTACATTGTCATGCGGATGTACGTTCATGTATATGTGTAGGCTACATGTGTCTGTGTGTGCAGGTAAGTATAAAAACGAAAACATAAATTTATGTATGTATGTATGTGTATATATATATATATATATATACATGTACAGAAACACACAGACTTATAGGTAGACCGAACGTAAGGTGGTTGGACAGACGGACAGACAGATAAACATGTGCATATATATTTACGCATTTATGAAGAGAGAGACAAACCAGATAAACAGTTAATAACCTTAGACAGAAAACCGTTGTATTCAAATAAAATGATAGATCGATTGTAAGACAAACGGATAACCGAGCACATGTATAAGTGTAAACAGGCAGTGTCTGGTCTAAAAAACATACATACCGACCTACCTACGTACTCACAGACGTTTGACATACGTGCATACATGCACACACAAACACACAGACACAGATACACACACACATACACATCAACATACACATACAAACATGCACATGCAAATAGGTTCGCATATACACGTACGTATACATTTACATATGCGTACTAACCTACCTACACACAGTCATGTCAACATAACGACACACGGACATAGCCACACATACATCTACACAGAGAGACAGATGGACAGACACACACAGACACACGCAAACAAACAGAACTACTACGAGTACTACTACTACTACTACTACTACTACTACTACTACTACTACTACTACTACTACTACTACTACTACTCCTGCTGCTGCTGCTACTACTGCTGCTGCTATCACCACGGCGACTACTACGACTACTGCCACCACTACTACTAAGACGACTGCTACTACTACTGCTGCTACTACTACTACTACTCCTGCTGCTACTCCTGCTGCTACTACTACTACTGCTGATGCTGCTACGATGTTGTTAGTGGGTAGCTTATCAACAGGTGCATGCGAGCGTCGGTCTGTGTTACCCTACATTCTCAAGTGATTACCCAGGCCATGGAATCTGGGACGAAACTCTAACCCGCCTCTGCCGCCGCTGGGCGATTCTGCCGTTTGCGGCGACCGCGCAAGAGGCATCTGCTCCAGTGGATGAGGCTGTGATGGTTTAGTAGGGTTTAGGGTTTAGTATCAGATTCCGGGTTTGGGACATAACGGTCTGGTGTTTGCTTAACGATGAGGGTTGATGGTTTCGGGTGTTAGGTTCTTGCCTGGGCCTCGCCCAAGGTTTGCAATTCCGTGGCTGCAGAAACTGAACTGCTTCATAGCCAAAGCATAATACCTACGGTCTGCATTGTAGTTCCTTTGGTTGAACCAATGTTATATGTAGGATCCTTAACCCTAAACCCTAAAACCCCCAAAAAGGAACTACAATGGAGACGGTAAGGGCATTTCTCAATCGTAACATACTGTAGAGGCCCAAATAATTACCAATTCTGTAGGGTTTCGGGTTCCTTTACAGGGGTCTATAATGGCTGCTATAAGGACTATTATAAGGGCCAAAATAATTTCCAATACTACTTTGCGGGTTTCTGATTATATTTATGGTATAATGTACCCTCAAACCTTTATTCTAATTAATAAGGCCCCTACATTACTCTGTTGCGAGCCCACACAGGAACTCACATCCTAAGCCCATTCATAAACCGTTCTGGGCCCTTTCAGGCTCGACCGGAGCGCCACCCAACCTCCACACACAATCAGGCCCCACTTAGGGTTTAGGGTTTAAGAAACCTTGGGCCTTTATTAAGGCTCCTTTACATGCATCCGACTATTTTGGGGTTATAGGCCCAGGGTTTCTCAGTCGGTTTTCAGTTACCGGCAACTAAGCACATCATGCACACAGTAACCTATCAGGTATCTGGGGCAAGTTTCCTTGCGCGGGCTCTGTGGCTGTGTCGAGTCCTCATTGCGAACATGCAAGTGTTCACGGCGTACCTAGGATTACCGAAAAACTCCGAACTTTATTGAGAAGCCTCATCCCCAAAACCACCGAAAACCGCACGAAGACCACCTAGTAAGTAGCCCTCAACAGGCACGAACCTCAGGCAGTCCCACATGGTAACGGGCAGCCGGGACACCCAGCCTTCGCTTCGGAGTCCGGATTCTTGCAGCGTCTCTCAAGTAAGTTCAAGGTTTAGGGGTGTACGGTTTAGAGCTTATTATGGTTATGTAGTTGTACAGCGTCCAGAGTTTCTGGATGTGGCTTTCTCGACTTCAATGTGCCCGCGCAACTCCGGCAGGACAAGGAGCTCGAGGGGTGACTGCTGGCGTGCTTCCCATCGGGAAGGGGAGGACAGGGTTCTCATTTGATTTGTCTGCGCGCGGGTGTGTGTCTGTGTCTGTGTCTGTGTCTGTGTCTGTGTCTGGTGTGTGTGCGTGTGTCTGGTGTGCGTGTGTCTGGTGTGTGTGCGTGCGTGTTTGTTTGTTTGCTTGTGTTCTTGTTTGTTTGTTTGTTTGTGTGTGTGTGTGTGTCTGTGTGTCTCTGTGTGTGTACACATGACGGAAATTATATAAAAGAGCATCAAACTGGTGGTGCCGATGACAAGGTATGCATGTGCATCAGTGACCACAGCGATTCGGGTGGTCAAATCACCCCAACCTCTTATATTATTCAGTCACAACGTCCTGCCTCGTTGCCAAAACACATGTGACCCTAACCTTGTACCCTAAAGTCCAAGCACCCCCCCCCCCCCCCATACACACCCTGCAAACTTCAACCAGCCCAAATGAAGAGGCGGCTCTTCACCAGAATCTTCTTTGCAGCCGGGTAGCATACAAAGGGCTGGAAAAGCTGCGCAAAACCAACGGCCAGAGTGAGGGGCACTAGAACCTTGGACGCTTTATTTAAGCACAGCTGGTGTCGTCTAGGGATGTAGTGAGCTTTCAACCAAACGGGCTGGCATGGTATGCGGGTCCCTATAGTAAGCGGAAAACAGGCAGACAGACCAGACAGACAGACAGACAGACAGACAGACAGACAGACAGACATCGATAGATGGGTAGATAGATGGGTAGAAATATAGCTAAGTATATATATATATATATAACTAGATTTTTTATGAACAGAAGGCTTAACCTCACTCAAGCTTTATCACTACAGAGTCTGACGCCGTTGAAACTCGACATCCTGACTTCAGCAAGCAGAGATGTACACACAGCTTCATACATCAAGCTTCACGGTTCAGGGTTCTCAGAGTTTAAGATTTGGGGCTTAGGGATCAGGGCTTTGACGAATGTCTGCGACAAAAACGGTGGATCCGAAAATCTTGCAACTTTGGGTGGTGTCAGTCCTATGAGCTGCAAGGAACAAGGATTCGAAACAGACCCGCCAGAATCTCAAGAATATGAGGTCTCGGGTTTGGCGTACCAAGACACCTATGAAGTCTCAAAACACGATTGCTGCGGGAGTGCTGTGGGGGGGGGGGGGTGAATACAACACTATACCCCATTGCTAACAGCCCGGTAAGTTAAACCAAAGATCATTCACGAAAGCGTGATCGCTGTCAAACCCTGAAGTCTTGAAGCAAGTGCAGTAACAAATAAGGGGGTACGTTGACCCCTATATCAACTCAAACTGGCTCCAGGCACACTTTGCAGCCACCACAAGGCATAGACGGTCACCAGCCTCATGCCAGCAGACGAGATTGGCTTATAAACAAGAGCTTCATGCCAACCCCCCTGAACCTTAAATCCGAAGTCTGAACCCTAAACCTTAAATCCTGAACCATAAACGTTAAACCCTAAAAACTCCTAGACCCCAAACCAAACCCAGACCCCCCGACGACCCCTGTATTTTGGCCTGAAGTACCCACTCTTCAGGACCATTGAGGGCTCTGTTCAAGGGCACCAGTTGTAA